CTTAACCCCTACGGAGAAATTAACTAGGCGCAAGTGTACCTCAGAGCGGTGTGGGTCTGCGAGGCGCACCCACTGATGCTTATGAGAGGGCGGCACAAGCGGCACGTCCTTTTTACTGAGGATTTTGATGCTACCTACCTCTAAGAGCTGTGCTTGGCAGGGCAGCCAGGTACCTGCAGGCGTGCGTGTGAGCTTGGCGTGCTCATCAAGGGCATCGTAAAAAAGCTGCCACATGCCAGGTGCGATGCTATGCAGTGTACCCTTGGCGCTGTGAAGGTCCTTGTAAAGCGGCGCCATGAAAGGGCGAAGATGCTTGCTGAGCGTGGTCGCCCAGTTTAGGAGGCCAAGCACCCCTTCAAGTGCTTTGCGAGGCACTTTGCTTTGCATTAGTCAGCTTGGCCTCGCGGAGCTCAACTGTTTCGGTGTGGAGGCAGAAACGCCAGCCGCACCATATCACTTCGGAGGAAAATTGCGCTTTTTTCCAGCTGATAGGAGCGTGCAGTGCAGCAAGCAATGCCACTATAAGCGCTGCAGCCTCTTGTGAGCGGTGCTTATGCAGAAAAGCGGGTAAATCATCCACATGCAGCCATGCTCTATGTGGATGACCGCAGAGCAGTGCGTGTAGGCAGCGCAGGATCAGGCTGCCAACGCGCTGCCACCAGTAGGCAGAAAACCTCGCGCCGAAATGGCATACCGTATAATGGTACAGTGCGGTGCCGAGTCGGAAGAGCAGAGTCCCCTGGTCTGCCTGCCGGACCTTGCAACATTTGCGCGCTGCCTTAAAATCAAGAGACAAAGCTATGAGGGCACGATAGCAGTCACCTGACAGAAAGGTTCGCTGTACATCAGACGCGGTAGGCAGTGCAACGTGCTCCGGCAAGTGAATGGAAGGGTTCAAACCACAAATCGAGCTGTCAAGTACGAGGCGCGGATTGCGCCCTTCCGCGGTGACTATGTTGAGTTTTCCTATGGCCGTGCCGTTGGGCCAGTGCGATGCGGCCTGAGCTTCGTCGCCCTCGAATTTCTTGACAAAGCCTTTGTCCACCTCATCCTGTACGAGCTGTGCAAGCAGTTCGGGATTTGATTCAGCTGCGAGCCAGTCGCCCCTGCAATGCTCCAGCGATGCAGGGCTGAAGTCTAGGGACGATTGTGCCTGCACCCATTGACCACTAGTAGGCAGGGGCTCAAAAGCCCCAGTCGGTACTCCTTCTTCCAGGAGGACCGGAAGATCCGAATCTTTGTCCTGGATGGCCCTGGCGAGGCATTGCAATACTCGAAGGCGAAAGGGCTGACCTTCGCTAATGCTATGAAAGGCGTTGGGGTCGCAGTGCGGTGCAAGTTCGATGCGTATCAACTCTGCCAGCACAGACCCATGTTCAGCGCTGAGAGGAGCATCCTCCGCGGCGGCGGTGAGGTGTTGGCATATGGTGTCTACAAGGTTATGATGCTTGAGGTAAGACAGCATCTGATGCTAGTCTTTGAAGGGGTTTACTTTTGGTGTTAAGGTTGTTTGCGGTGTGATCAGCAGAGCTATGCAAGCCTGCGCCGTCGCACACTGCAGGGCGTCTGGGCAAGAAGAAGCTAGGGAGGAATCTGCCAATACGGTCGATCGGTACTGGCTGCCCGACTGTTTGAGTGCAATGCTCTTCAAGCACTGCTTGAAGTTGTAGCCAGCCGTTTGTGTGATTCTGCAGCTGGCTGATTTTGGCATTGGTGCAGCATACAATAAGCGATTCGGCAGCTTCTGGCAGTGTGATATGCACGCAATGAACTGCGAGTTCTTGGCAGAGGTGGATGTATGAGGATTCGGTGGCCGGATCGCACCGAGTAGGGTACACGAAGCAGATCTGAGCACCTTGAAGGTGTGCAGCGCGCAAGAGGGCTTGCGCAGAGCGGTGCACAGATGGGCTAAGGTTGCCGACCGGAGCTTCGATGAGTAGTGTACCTAGCATGCCAGACCAGGCTGCACTTGTAAGCTGGGCAAGAATTTCTGGCTCCCAGTCTGAACCTACTAAAGGGCAACCGAAAGAGAGGCTATCGACCCTAAGCTTTCTAGGGTGTTGTGGGTGTCGTATGTGCAGGAAGAAGCGAGGCGGTGCATCTGGCAGTGAGGAGCGGTCTGACGAAGACGATTCGCCGCTTGAAGACGAGACTCGCATGCGAGATGGAGGCTGATGCGCAGGAGCCGGAGGCTGATGCTGCATGTGGCGCTGGTTGTAGCGCTGGCGGTGCAGTGCTGGGCGGCAAGTCGGTTGCCGGAGGGGGGTTTGGCAACTGACCTGATCCGGCGGCGGCCAGCTGCGCAGATCAGGAGGAAGGGGGCTCCTGAGGGTTGCGGTGCTTGCAGGCAGGGTGATTCTTGCCGCACGGCTCGCCGTTTGGCACGCGGAAAGCGCAGGCATGAAGGTACTTGCATTGCTGGTTCTTGCACACCCCCTTGTTGAAGCGAATGCAAAATGTTTTGGCGCCGTGCTGCTTGATGAGATCGCTGTCCTTGACAGTCGTTGCGCTGTCAGTGTTGGTGAGCTTGCGTTTGCCCGGCGTGAGCGGGGTCCCTGCTTTGTCTTTGCCTTTGCCTTTGCCTTTGCCTTTGCCTTTGCCTGGCCTACCCTTGCTTGGGTCGGTGAGGCGGGGCGGCGGGCGTGGCGGGGGTGCTGGGGGCTGCGCCCGGAATTGCAAGAGGTTGCCTATATCTGATCTTACATGGGTCATTTCATGCAAGGCGTCATCCAGCGTCCAGCCGGCTGTGCAGAGCGAAGCAATTTCGCGCCAGAGACGTCTGTCTGCGGAAACCAGCTCACTAGTGGAGACTGTGCGAAGCGATGCATCGGAGGGCGTTTGCGTGGCCCAGTCAAGAACTTTCTTGTCGTATGCTTTAAGGCGTTGCAGGTGTGCACCTTTGCAGAGGGCGACGGCGTTGCGAAAGATGGTCTGAATGCGCCCCAGCCATGCGGGGCTGAGACGGAGATGATCGACAGGCATCTCCGGTGTGTCGTCAAACAATGCAGTGCTGAGAAAGGCCGCTTCAGAGCGCAGCGTGCGAGTTGTGCGACTGTCAATGATTTCTTGATATTGTCTTTCCGAAAGGCGGAGCTGCCATGGAACCCAGCTGATGCTGTTACCCGGAACAAACCAGCGGTGCACGATGCTCAGGAGACGCACGCTGGGCACGGCGTCCCCATCCAGGTGTTCTCCCGGATAGTTGCGGTGGAAATCCTTGACTAGCTGGGCGATGCTGGATGCGTCTAGGCGCGGCGGCGCGTGCTCAGCCCAAGCGTTGAGCTGTTGAGGGGCGGTGCTTGATGCCTGCGGTGCTGGTGCAGCGGCATCCGAGGCTTCCGTGATGGCTTTGGCTCTTTGCAAGGCGCGGCGGAGCCTGGCCATAGCAGGGCTGCGCAGTGGGTCTGACACTTCCACGTCGTCCCAAACTTGTTGTGGTAATCCGCGGAGCAGATCACGTCAAGTTCGGAAATGCTCGAATAGGCAAAAGCAAAATCCGGAATTGACAGGATACCCAGATCTTGAATGGCTGCGCTGAGCTGTATCGGCACTTGCATGGAGTCGAGCAGACCCTGCAGTGCTTCGAGTGATTCGATGGACGGATTGTCCGCCATGAATGCTGGTTACTACAGAGCCTGCGAGGCCAGGTGGTTTGAGCTCAAAAAACGGCTGCGGAAAGCAACTAGCGAGCTGGAGGAAAAAGGGGGCAAAGCAAGTGGTGCAGGCAGGAGCTGGCCAGGGCGCACGTTGCGACCTTAGTGCAGGAGGTTGTGGAACACATGCATGCGACACGAGAGGAAAGGCGTGAAAGGCCGGTCTTTTTTCTTTCTTAGGCATGGCCAGCGCGACGCGCTACGCAGGCTTTGCGTCTGCAGAAAGGAGGGGGCGCAGTGAAAGATGCAGTGCCGAGAGAGATGCCGCACGCTGTGCGGAGGTTGCCGGATGCGTCGGGAGGTGCGAGGCAGTGCCAGCATCCCCAGGGGCCTGCGCAGGCGAAGAGAGGGAGGTCGTTGTGTTCAACAAGGAGCGATGCGTTGGAGGAGGACACGGAGGACTCCTCGGCTTCAGAGGATGAGCTCTGTGTGCGAAGAAGAGCTGCGCGTTGAACCATGGCCGCCTCTTCATCCGAGCAATCGACGATAGGGTCATCTGGCGAGAATTGCTGCATGGGGTCGTCGGGCTGCGACATTGAAGGCTCGATCTGGGTGGCTCCCGGCTCTGGCAGTACCGTGTCTATGCTTTGATGGGCGGCACGCAGTGCTTCATGTCGGGTCGTGAAGGCCGACCAGGGGCCCGACAAAAGGTCTTTGCTTGGCAGTGCGGCTAGAGGAGGGGAGCTGGGCAGAGCGAAGGGCGGCTCAGGAATGGGGGCTTGTCCGCCGCGAGCGACGCTGCGGCTGGGCCTCCAACCCTCACTCATGGAGGTGGAGATGCGGCGCTGGGCGTCCAAACTATCGAAAGTATCGTTTCTGCTATACAGTGCAGCGCTATCCCTGTGATGACCGGTGGATAGACGCATGTCTTTCCGAAGGCGGAGCTGTGCCGCTGCCGCAAGCAGCGTGCTTTTCATGCTGTGCAAAGTAAGTTGCTGTGCCTCGGCTGCCGACAAACCGGAGGACTGGGCTCCCCACGGGAGAGTCGCAGCCCAGCGCAGGCAAAGCATGGCAGCGCAGTAAGACGCTGGAGCAAGCTCCTGCAGTGCGGTGAGGTCCATGGCCGTGTTGATCCACAGAAAATCGGGATCGCCGTCGCGTTGCCTGAAAGGTTCGCACGCGCGATGCAGAGCGGCAAGCCAATGCAGTGTCCAGCAAGACGCGACGTCTCTGCCGGTTAAGCCAGCGATGGTAACCGCGAAAGGTTGACCTTGTGAGGTTGTCTTGGTAGCGTAACAAACCCCAAGCAAAGCAGTGCAAGTCAGGGAGAGTGACGAAAAGTCCACTCTTTGCAGATCTCCGAAACGGAGACACGCATGAATGGCAAGGAGGGCGGCCCCCAAAACCAATACGGTGCAAAGCGGAGTCGATGCATTGCAGACACGGCGCTCCCAGGCGGCTACGAGAGCCCAAGGGATGGGGGCACTGATACGGTGTATCTCCAGATCCTGTTTGTGCGATGCTTTGGCGGAGGCGAGGTAATCCAACAGGGTGGCTAGGGAAACCTGTGTGAATTGAATGCCTGTGCTATCCAGGAAACCCATGAATTGCGAGGCGATGCGAAGGTATCTTTCTAGGGTGCCCGGGACAAACTTGCGGAGGACCGCGAGCATATGCTGTGCAGAGTCCTTGGAGGGCAGAAGGGATTGTAACAGCATGGAGGCCACACCAAGGCGCATGAGTAATTGTGACCACAGGGTACCGCATTGCTGTTTGCGAATCTCGAGAGATTGTCTGGCGCGCGAAATTTTCACCGGGCGTGGTCGTGGAGTGCGCAGCTTGGGCACTTGCAATGGTACGGCAGGACTGTGAATCGCCACCGGGGCCGAAGGCTGCGATGTATGGGCAGATGCAGGTTCGGAGCTTTGCGGCGGCTGCAAACGAAGAGGTCGGCTCTTTGACGGAGGCGGTGCCAGGCCACCGAAATGAAGGGGCGGTGGAGAACGCGATCGCCTGGGGGCATTGGGGATCAAAAGAGCATCCAGCGACAGTTGCTTGGATGGGTAAGAAACGACTCGGCAGGGCGTGGCCTTTGATGTTGCAGGTGGCACTGCAAGATCTGCCACTGTGGGCAAGAAACCGTGTGATTGGTTCTTGGCGCGGCACCTGCGATCATGGATTTGCAAAGCTGGGCTTTTACTAGATGCTGCCAGCATGTGCAGCACACTGGATGGGGCAGGGGCTGGCTCGGCTGTGCATTGCAAGACCTCGTCAGATGACACAGAGATGTGAGAACGCACATCAAGTGGAGTGGCCTCTGGACCTGGCGATTCATCGAGCTGTGTCTGGGCAATGTCTTCAGGCAGGGCTGCGAAAACATTGTCGAGATGATGCTGAAAAGAGTAATCAAGTGTGCTGGGCAGTGCCTCCGTTGTGGCGCGTGGCGCTGCTTCGTCGGAGCTTACAGGGGCCTCCAAGACCGGGAAGGGCGGTGCGGTGTCTATGTCAAAAGCCAGGCGAGGCTTCTCGCAAGGATGTCCACCTGCGCCTCATGCTTGAGGGCAGCACCAGTGCTTGAGCATGAAAAAGGCTGCGGAGGCGTGCGTGTGCGGTGCGTGCGCTCACAGACGAGAGTGCCTAGGGAGAGTGCGCAGAGCATGCGTGCGAGGCAGGAGTTCAACACCTACGAGAGCGCGCTGCAGCGCACGCAACGAAAAGACGGCCTGGCGAAGCAAGAGTGCCTAGCTCACGCAGTGCAGGGCTGGGCTTGCTACCACAGGCCTTTTGTGCGAGAGAGCACCTGTCAGGGCATTGCAGTGCAAAGGCTGAGCCGCAAGAAGAAGGGCTGAGCTCGAGGCCCAGAGACCACTGGCGTATAGTCCTGGTCATATGAAGAAAAGATGCAAAGCAGAATCATGGTGCTTATGCAGAGCCGGCGGTGCCCTTCGAGCTTTTATTGCGACGCGAAGCCCACGCGGCAAAGCATGCGGTGAGATGCTGCGCCGCAGCAGGTCGCGTCCAAGCGACTGCGACAAGCTGAAAAAGGCAGCTGTGCGAAGACTGCTGTGCAATGCATGCGGTGCAATGTTGAGCCATTACGTTTATAGTGGGTGTGGGAGGGTTGAGGCTTAACATGAGCTACGCAGTGCTGTGCTAAGCCGGGCTACGCAGTGCAGAGCTAGTCGCTCAGCTCGCCGAGCTCCTCGAGCTCCTTGCATTTGCTACAGCGATGCAGCAGGTGGACATCTTCGGTCCACACTGCTTTGAGGGGCTTGTTGCAAGGCCTCCTCCCAAATTTGCAGCACGGTGCGTCACAGGCGACCGCGCAACAGACCCTGCCATTCGGCAGTCTGTAGGCGGGGGTCGCCTGGACCCGTCTTTGGGGCTGTACCACTTCAGCTCTGTCAAAACCCAGGCGCTGGGCGGGAAGGTGCCGGGCAGTGCGGGGGAGTCGCTGGGCGGTGCAGGGGCAGGGGGTCCGGTGGCGGTGCGGTACGCGGGTGTGCGAGGGGATGCCGTGGCATCAGACTCCTCGTCGGAACATCAGCCCACTGTCGCCCAGCTTTGTTCCGAGTTGGCTTGTGGTGCGATGCGGCCCGGCGGGGCTGTGTCCTCCAGCGTCTCCGGTATCGGAGGCTGCCCCAGGACGAACTTCTCCGCCTGACGCGGCGTGCCTTGGGCTCGCGGCTTTTGTCCTTGCGGGGCGGAGCTCCTGTAGACATTGGCGGTGCAGGCGGGGGTGTGGGCTCAGCAGGGGGAGGGGGTTGGGAAAGGGGGGGCGGTGCGGCCGCAGACTTGGTCGGCGCTGCCTTGACCATAGGCGGTGTCGTGTGCCATGCTGTGCTGTGCAAGGCGGCGCGGAGCACAATGTGCGGTGCAGTGCGAAATCAGGAAAACTCGAGACAAAGGCTTCAGCAACCAAGGTGCACAGGCGGTTATGTAAATGCTGGCACAGAAAGCTTCAAGTGCAGAGGCATTGCAAGCTATGCAGTGCAAAGCTGAGCACGCGATGCAGAGCTGAAGTCCTCAATGATGTCAAAGATGTCGAGGTCCACGTACCTGAAGCAGGGCTTTAGGGTAGTGGGGAAATAGGTTAAGCAGGCAGGACAGAGCCAAAAAGAGCTGGGGGCGCACAGCTCCAAGAGTACCTGACAGGTGCAGGGATGCATTGCAAGGCGGTTTGCAAAAAAGACCGGCAAGCGATGCTGGGCGGGGCAATGCGATGCCAATCAGGTTGAGAAACAACCTCATGAGCAAGTAAACTGATGCTTGCTGAGTAAAAGTGGACCTGAGGCAGGTACCGAGAGAGAGAGGGCAAAGCGATGCCAAAGGATCGCCTGTGCAGCTCAGCAGGCACTGAAAAAGCCGAAGAAAAAGAGACCTGCGGGGCGCAGGCCGAGCCAGAAGCAAAGCGATGCCTGGCCAGCTCGAGAAGTTAAGAAGCTGCACGCTGTGCACAAGAAAGAAAGTGCGGTTTCTTGTTTTACAAAAATTCGACTACGCAGAGCGGCGCAGTGCAGGGATCGAAGTTCAAAGGCGGAGCTAACTTCATGAGCTCGTAACTGGCAACGGCACGAGCCCAGACTAGTGCTGGGCGTCGGCCAATGGTGTGCACTGCAAGGCGATGCTGTGCAAAAGCTGTGTTGCTCAGAAATCTGGTGCTGACAGCGCGCATGTGCCGAATGCATTGCGGGGCCAGCGTCTTGATGAAGTAGTACCAAAAGTGGCTGTCCAGATTGAGCAATGCCAGGCAATGTGAAGGGGTTTTAGGGATGTCCCTATCCCAGCAGTGCAAAGCATGCCAATGCAGTGCCGAAAAAGCAAAGCGAAGCAGACGGTACCTCAATACGTTGAAACGTTGAGGCCTTGCTATTCAATGCAGGTCTGTTGTTCTGTTGACCAGACGATCGCGCCATGCACCAAAAAGCAGTGCGAGGCGGCGCTTGGCCAACATCGCTGTGCACAACCAGACCACGGCTGAGTGTTCCATGACAAAGAGCAGGGCAGTGCCGAGATTAGTCGCTAATCTCCCCTATAATATCTTCCATGAACACTCTACCAGTGTTTTTCAGGTACTGGAGGACTTGCATGTCACGCTGGTTCATGTCCCAACAGCGGTCCATGTAGCACTTGATGCCTTTGCTGAGTTGTGCGATGCGGCGGCGCAATGGCATATCCAGGCAGAGCAGAAAAAACCCCGAAAAGGGGATAGACCTGATGCAGTGCTCCAAAGAGGGCTGAGTGGCTTCACCCAAAACCAGGTGAGAAGTATACCCAGGGTGCGTGGTATACAAATTAAGCCTAACCTCAACCATGTCGGCTTGGCGAGGCGGTGACCAAGTGCTGGGCGTGGCTGTGCTGGAAGAGGCCGTTGCCGAGTCTTCTGCATGAGCCTGAGGAGCGGTGCGAGGCCGCTTGGTATTGCCTTGTCTGGAAGACATGGCAAAGAGACAACAGTGGCTTCAGGCAGCGGCACACGAGCAGGAAAGGCGCTGCGGTGCCATGCAGTGCGTTCAATCAAGTTCTTGCAAGAAAGAGCTGGGCAAATCAGCGCATTGCGGTTGCCCTTCAAGCGTGGCAATGCGACGCTCCAGGCTTCGAGCGTAAGCCCAAAGTGCCTGAAGTCTTTCATGAAAAATGTCGATGCGTTCATGAATGCGAGTGTCACTTTCCAGGGCTTCGTGTGCTAAGTCCTGGATTGCCCGAACCAGCTGCCATGAGGTAGCTGGCTCGAGCTCCATGGCGCAGGGCTCGGCGGGCGATGCTAAAGAAATAGAAGCTGAGCAAGCTTGTCGAAAGTAGCTGTGTGAAAAATTTGAAGCTATGCTTTGCCAAGCATGGATGCTGTGTGTTTCTATGTTAAGCCCAAACACAGCGAGAGGCATCTGTAAGACACAACATAGAAAACACTGCTGATATAACATAAAAACCCACAGCAAGCGTTGCGCCAAGAGGCAGTGCAGTCCTGCCTCCATCCGCAGTCCTGCCTCCATCCCCCCGCCACTATTCTTGGTCGCCCCATCCAGACATGGCGCGAAGAAGGACCGCAAGGGTCTCTGGGTGGACGGGTTCAATGAAGCAGGGGCGCAGTTTGGTCCGGACCACGTCCCTGGACTGCAAGGGCGTTCCATCAGGTTTTGGGGGCCTGACAGGGGAAAGGCTTGCTTGGAAGACCTTTGCAAGAAGCTAGTAAGCTTGGGTTGGGGAGCAGAGTCTTTTTCGTAACAGGCAGTCGGGACCGGCTCTTCGCCTGGAAACGCTGCCTCCTTTGAGACAGCCTTGGGGAGGAAGTCAACAAGAGTGTTCCTCGTCCTACGGTTAGGGTTCCAAGGCTGAACCAGGGTCTTGGGAGCACGGATTGACCCAGGAGGCCGAGTGCAAAAGCAGTTTTGGCACAACCACACCTTGCCAACGTTATACAGAGTTGAACCGTGTGAGCTGATTGATTTTCCCTGCTTTCATTGGTGACATGAGCTGTCGCACCATGCCATATCGGCTTAATTCAGTGGTTGTTCCCCAAACAGTGGCCATTACCAAGCACTACTATATGATGAAACTAACAAGACTTTTACTTTGGCTGATGACAACAGACCGGCAAAGGCTCTCTCGCCTGCCTCTGCTGCCAAACTCCAGCATGACAAGCACATCTTCTTTTGCCAACAGTGCTGATGGCCAGGCCAGCCCAGGCCCGATTTTGGGTATCCGGGAGACTACGCGTTGCTGGCAGGCGGAGGATGTTCAGAGCACAGCGTCGCCGGGCAACTAGGCCTGTCCTCCCTTTTTCGTAGCAAAGTAACGACTTTGCAAGGCGGAGAATGAAAAGTGAAAGCACGTATGTATGTGTGTATGTATGTATGTATGTATGTATGTATGTATGTATGTACGTATGTATGTATGCATGTATGTATCTATATATACATATATATATATATATATACACACGCACACAAGTTCTGCTGTAAGCTTTACAGGGTAATGCAGCCTTGCTTCTGGTTTCGGACATACGGTGTCGAAGATGCTCTTTTGCCGTCTACAGTTCAGACCTTTCGCGTGGGGAAATTGAATGGGGAGATTCAGTATATATCTCACCCGCATGATCCCCTCTCATTCCCCCTACAAAAGCATTCAAGAGCGGTCTCTGCCTAGGCCCGATCTCGCAAAAACTCAGAATCGCAAAAACGGAAGTTCTTAATAGCCCGAAAGCAATTAAACCCTGCAGCGAAACCACAGACATCCACAGACACTGATAACGCAAAGATCAGGTAACCTCCGCCGAGTTTAGGCAACCTGCTCGAGAAAACTCCTTGGGAACATGAAGGCCTTACACTAGCAGTCACTATAGCAAAGGCCACACACCCATAGACTTCAAAGCACAATGCCAGACCACAAACACTTGGGATTCGGGGTTGCTGGCACATGTCTGAAGCCTGCAGTCTCCCTTCCGACAATGGGTAGGTCCTCCACCTCCTCCTTCTTTGCCTCAGGCAAACAAAGAAAGGAAGTTTGCAGCTTAGCACATGCCCCAGATGTCTTCGTGTGCCTGCACTGGTTCTCTCCGAAGACGCTGCTGCGTCTGCTGCCATAGCCACCCACGAAACTGCACCCTGAATTCTCCAAACGCTGCCCAGCAACCTTTCCCTTGGCCTTGGCGTCAGGCTTGGGCTTCGCGTCTGCCTCGCTGCAGTGCTGGTCTTTCAAGCTTGGAGTTCGCCATTAGAAGCCCTGAAGTCTCGAAAGGTCTGAAACCCCCAAACCTGTACTTTAATGCCTCAAGAGCTTCGGGAGCTGACTTCCTCCCACGTACCAAGCTCACGCCTTGGCCTTCGGCGCAGTTTTGGGAGCCATGGGCGTCGGAGAAGAGGCGGAAGGGATCCGGGAAGAGCGAGTCGCTGCTTGGGAGACCGCTGAGGTCCTATTTGGCCGCGGCAGGCACGCTGGCTCGGAATGGAACTTAAGGCGTTAGGGGCCTTAGGGTATGTGCGGGATGCGTCTCGGTGGACGTAAGAGGTTTAGGATTCAGAAATCATGCGGGCTATAAGTTTATTATGGGCGTGCTTTCGGATCGCTGTGAAGTCATTGCGAGATTCAATACCCAAGTGAACCTCAAAACCACACACCTGTCGACTGGGACCACAAACAAAGTCATGAGCTTATGGTCTTGGGTGCCTGTGGTTCTTGCTCGTGTTCGCCATGATGCCCACACAGCTCAGAATGCTCGCTCGGTGGGAAAAAAGCCATCTTAAAACAAAACATCGAAACGGCACGCCCATCCACGGAAGCCAGAATCTCGTCCCCGAGTGGGCCGGAACTGCAACAACAGCAACCTGAAAAGAGTTGCCAAATCGGACTGAACCTGAAACACGATCGGGCAGGCGCCCTAGGGCTCCCCAGGACTGAAAACGCCGTGCTTTTGCGCTCCGGTGGCTGCATCAGGTGCTTCCGCCCCAGCACCGCGGGCCGGGGCCGCTTGAGCCTCCCGGTGTTGAGGCTATGCTCTCGAGCTCCAGCTGGTTTTTTGGGAGTTTTTGGCCTGGCAGAACCCTTGCCGATTTTGGGTGATGCTATCCCCCAGACGAAACTAGTTAAGTAGTTCCGTGGGGCTGCAGGATCTCCTCAGTTCACATCGAAAGACAGCAACAAGCCGTTGGGACACCCAACCATCGGACCTATATGGGGGCCGCCAGCCTTCCTGCTCCTCCTGCAGGCAACTAACTTAACTGCCTTTCTTGCTGTTGCCCGGCTCTCCGGGAGGAATGGGTGCAACCACGAACTCAAAATCCCGCAAAGCGAAACCGGAGTTGTACTTTCAGCAGACGGTCGGAACAAAGAGGATGCTCCCCCAAAGCATTCCAGCCGAGACCTCACTACTTTGGATGGTCGCAAGCTTCGCAACTCAGGAACTCTTCTTGCTTCATTCCCGCTGTCATGCTTTGCAACAGTGGCACGAGAAGGCGTAGGCTTGGGCAGCGTGCTTTTTGTTTTGCTAAAAGAGCCTTGCAGGCTCTGTCTGCATCAGTCCCCCGCAGATGGGCTGCATTGCATTTTCGTATTCTCGATAAAATGGTAGAAGTCGAACGATCATTCTATCATTCTGCTTTCCTTGGTTTCCGCCGTCATGCTTCTACTATGCCGGTGTAGACCCCAAACAGTGAAAACCCACCTAGCAGTGAAAGCCTCACATACCTCACCAAAACGGTGCTAGGAGGATCCTGAGGCTCCCAAGACCACCCCGTGGGACCCGGGACACACACCGCCTTTTTGCGCGGCTCAGTCCGGACCGGGGCGGGAGCGCAGTTTCGATTTTCGTCCAACTCAGACAGGCAAGTACAAAACAAAAACCTTTGACTCAAGGCCGTAAACCGAACCGACGATGAAGCAAGTGAACGACGAGGCCGGCGCAGACGAAGAGAACACTCCCAAACCAGGTGCCTTCCAAAACCGTGCAGGCCTTTCAACAGCTCTCTGGTCATCAAGCCAATAATGGCAAGCCAATTGCAGGCATCAGGCATTAGCATCGAAGGCTTTTGTCAGGCCTCGTCCTGACTTAGAGCTGACTCAAATATAGCTGCGGGCACAGGAGTTGGTGGAATAGTTGATAAGCGTTCTTCCGACTATGCAAACTCGACAAGGGTTCCTGACAGCGTTTGTGCATCCAGGGAGTCGAAGTGAGGGCGCCTGGCGTTTCAGGGGATCTTCAAGGTGTGGTGGTCACGGACGGACGACTCTGCAGGCCTAAGTGGTCAACCCCACGTTGGAATAATCGAGAGACGGGATGACACAATGCAAGGAAACGAAAAGTTGAAGGATCCTCACCTTTGAAGATCTTGCACCGTCGGAGACTGAAATCCGAAGGCCCTGCAGTCAAACGTGCCACGGACTCGAACAGCTTAACCTCAAAAACCTACTTACGCCTTTGGCAAGTATATAATGCCTTCGGCAAGTTGAGCCGCCAAGGGCCCAAGCTTAGCGCGCCTTCCGCAAGGCCTCGAGGCGCCGGTGGGCGATGTGCAGATCTGCCTCGTCCACCTCGGAAGCCTGCGAAATAGCCCGGGATAAGGGGGACCCTGTCAAGGGGCAGAGTCTGTAAAGAATTTCGGAAGCTTGCAAACAGGGGATGGGCATGGGGAGTCTTGGGGCTCGTTGCTGCGAAGGGGGGAGAGGGAGCTTTTGCGAAAATTTGGAGCTGAGGTCCTTGGGCTTTTGGGTTTTGGGAGATAAAGTTAGTCGGCTTTGATGGAGCTTTGAGTTTTCGGTGGTGCCAGATCTTGGTTTGAGTGGGCCTATAGACTATAGACATCTTTTATCTCAAAAAGTTGAAGGTCCCTTGAGAACTGCCTTGAGAAGGGCTTGCAGCATTGTCCTTCCATGTCTGGTTTAAGCCTGGCCAATTTCGGCTCTCGGGTTTCGGATTCAAGGGGTTTACGGCTTTGAGGCCCTCTAACTGCGGGTTCAAGGATTCAAGGCTTTGGATTCCCTCGAGGCCTTGGACACACAAATGGCTTTGCAAGGCGGCAGTGCACACGTCCTTCTATAGGGGGTCTGCCAAGTCTGTCCATCAACAACACGCCGAAACATCAATACGACTTCAAGCAAATCGTGAAATCCCGAATCCGAACACTGAAACGCGTATCCAGAAGCCCTAAACAGCTCTGTTCCTCAACGATTTGCCATCCTGCAACATGCACATGATGGTTTTTACACTCGACACTCTAAGCCCTCGAGGACGTTGTGAAATCGTACAGTACACTTTCATGAACAGCACAAAACCGCAGACAGAGCCCAGTAAAAACCCTTCTAGCACAGAAATATTCTCAAGAATGGCGGCACCTGTGACCTGGCGATGGAGAGCGCGGACTCCAAAGCTGCCACATCCTCGAAACCGGATTCCCTTCGAAACAGGTACTTACTGGGGCGTACATAAGTCTTGAAGTTGAAGGAACTGGTATGGGTCAGAGGGGAATTGAGGGGGATTCTTGTCCGTTGCTTGCAGGGCTCCTAGCAGCTGCAATGCCTTTATGAGGGCTGTGCTTAAGCAGGACGATTCCGTATGAAGGCACGTTGTCTAAGCAGAGGTTAAGCACGTAAGAGCAGATCCCCAGGCTACATCCAAGGGGACTTGTCACCGATTTTCATCGTCACGATCCAGCTCGCCCCAAGTGTCTGAACCACCAGGAACACCACAACCCTACAAAAACCCAAAGCGCCCGAAAACAGCCCTTCCGATTCCCCCGGCCCGGCCTTGCCGATGGTGGCCAAGGCAAGGACTGAGGCCGCGTCCGGTTCCTGGTTCACCCGCCGCACCTTCAGGAACCAAACCACCAGTGCTTGGGGCCTCGGGTCTGGTGTATTAAAATTTAGGGTTTGGTGGTCTAAGTTGTGAAACCGATGGAGTAACCTGTGGAGGCTTGCAAGGTCTGCAAATGTGTCTCTCACCATCCACCAGCCTGTAGCCGTAACCCCTTGATGCAGTTTGTAAACACTTAACCTCTTTCCCACCAGTTGGCTCCTCTTCCTATGTCTAGCCCCACTCGAACGGTTTATTCCAGTGGTTTCCTGACCGATGCCGACCGACTTGTAATCCGTTTCGTAAGAAACGTCTGCTACACATCGCACAGCTGATCCTGTATCGCGCTGCTGTCGCCACCCCCGAACGCATTACCCCAGGTGACCACAGATCCATCGACCAGGATTGCAGCGAATGCGCACTCAGAAGCTTGGATCTGCTGCACATCTCGCAGCTGCTCCTGTACGGCGCTGCTGTCGCCACCGTCGCCGGCATTACCCCAGGTGACCACAGATCCATCGCCCAGGATTGCAGCAAATGCGTCATTAGAAGCTTGGATCTGCTGCACATCTCGCAGCTGCTCCTGTACCGCATTGCTGTCGCCACCGCATTTGGCGTAACCCCAGGTGACCACAGATCCATCGCCCCGGATTGCAGCAAATACACGAATAGAAGTTTGGATTTGCTGCACATCTCTCAGCTAGCTGCCCCTGGACGGCACTGCTGTCGCCAACACAGTCGGTAGCGCCCCAAGTGACCACAGATCCATCACCCAGGATTGCAGCAAATGCCCGGTAAGAGGCTTGGATGTGCTTCACATCTCGCAGCTGATCCTGTACAGCACTGCTGTCGCCACCGCCGTCGACAGCGCCCCAAGTGACTACAGATCCATCGCCCAGGATTGCAGCAAATGCACGATCAGAAGCTTGGATCTGCTGCACATCTCGCAGCTGATCCTGTACGGCCCTGCTGTCGCCACCGCAGTCGGCAGCTCCCCAAGTGACCACAGATCCATCGCCCCGGATTGCAGCAAATGCACGAGCGGAAGCTTAGATCTGCTGCACATCCCTCAGCTGCCCCTGGACGGCACTGCTGGTCCCACCCAAGCCGGCACTGCCCCAAGTGACCACAGATCCATTGCCCAAGAGAGCGGCGAATGCAGTCAAAGCGGCGCGTTGCCTGGTGGTTTTAATCTGGAGCTGGTTCACATGTAGAGTGAGCACGTCTCCACTCATCCTTCGCTTCTGTGACAGTTTGTGCTCCGTCCAGCACCTCTCCAGAAGCATTCACCAGCCGCCCCCTTCTCGGGACCACCAGAGCACTCTGGGCGCGGTGCTTCAATGACTCAACGGATGCATCCGCCTCCACTTCCACAGAGGTACGCTTGCCACTCAGCAGGTGCACATCCACGGAAATCGACATGATGCTTCGTAAAACCTACGACTACAGCTTACTGGATCGAAGCATTTGACAGGCAACCGGGGTTCATTCTATGGGGTTTTACATGGGATAAAGTTTAGGGCTTGGGGTCCGTATCCTAGCTTTGGCTTAGCTGCTTTACCGACCAGAAACTCTGTGGCCTGTTAGGCTGTTTTGCTCTGGCGAGCACGAAGCTAGGGTTTCCGATTGGGGAAGAACTTTGATCCTTTGGGTTTAGCGCTTGAGGTTTGAACTACATGACGTTTTCGGGTGGCGCATTTAAGAGTGTAAGCCTTCCAGCTTTGCGCTTGACTGGCTCATCACACGGCTTCGGGCTCGAGATAGGGCCTTGCTTGAGTCAGCGACCAGAACTTCAGAACCACAAAAGCAAATGATTGTGAGACGTAGGATGTTGATTTCATGGTGTGGGGCTTAGGGCTTAGAGCTCAGGGTTCAGGGTCCTGGAGCTTTGGGGCTTGGGGTTTGAGCTGTTTGGCTTGGGATTTAAAATCTGTCTGTTGCAACCTCCACCGATAGCTAAGTCTGTAGCTTGCAAGGCTTGTGTTCAGAGTGCCCTTTTGCACGTCCACTGGCCTTATCCAAGTGATGAACCGGAACCACACCTCGTGTAAACCATTTAGGATTCAGGCTAAACCCGAACCTGCACCAAACCCCGCGTAGTACTGGAAAGTGGAAACCCTGTACACATACACTGACACCCTGCCTGAAGCCTCTAGTCCGAAAACCCTATAAATCCTCAACCCAGCAGCGCAGGCCCGCAATTCGCAACCAACTTGTGTGTTACTCACAGAACAGCAGACATGCACTAACTAGCGATCCCGTCGTACACAACTAGAGCGGTTTGGGGTTTAGGATTTAGGGCTGGTATGCCCAATTTACCGGGCACGCTCAGAACTGTAAAACCAAAGGCCCGCCAGTATCTGCTGCTAGCAAGCCAATCTGCTCGAAGCTCAATTCCTTCATCCTAGAAACAAGCCGCAAAGTTCTCAAAACAATTTAAGGAACTACTGAGACTTGTTGTGTATATGCACCCCCCAGAACAACGACCCCTAATTTTCTGAAACGAGGTAGGCGAGGGAATCCAAAATACGAGCCTTGCCGCTGGACATCGCTGGACGCGAAACCCCAAAAACCCTCACCCTGCTTCATCCCAGCTTGAGGTCCTTGCAACCCTACACGGGTTCCGGGCTCCGGGGAAAAGAGTGAAAACGAAGCATACTTGTATGTGTGTACATATATAATATAATATTACCTATTGTTGATATTCGTATTATTTTTGTTATTACTTCCAAAACACCTGTCACAAGTTACAAGGTTCGCTCCCCGGTGCTCGAGTCCCACTCGAAAGGTCTACTGGTCTGCTGGTCCTTCGGAGACTCGAAAGTGGCTCGCTGGCTTTCCCAGTCTGTCTGGGATCCACTGGTATGACCTACAACCCGAAGGCCTATAGACCCCGTTTGGGCCCCTGTCTTACTCCTCCCACAAGGCGCCTTGGGCTCTGGACCTGGCAGTGGCTCCTTCGGTGCCTGAGCTCGCAGCAGCTGAAGTCAAAGGGGTTTCGTGGTTTCTGTTTCGGGGCGGTCTGCAGCTAAAGCGTTCAATCCTACTACACCTACAACCAACATGGATAATGTGTGAGGGTGTAGGGTTTTGTAAAGAAGTCGTTGGTGCTGCTACGGTTTGCCACGGTCTTGGACTCGGTATTCAATCGACAGCCCTGCAAGACATTCAGCAAAGCCTCCACAGCCTTTTGACCGCAGAACCACAAGTTTACAAACGATTTGCAGAGCGCCTCCTCCGGTGCTTTGCCTCGGGCCTCCGCCGCCCAGCGGTCTGCCATCTCCTGAGCAGAGCGGACCTGACGCCGAGGGAGCGGAGCGGAGAGGGCGATTGCCACACGAGGATTGTCGACGGCCATGCTTTCAGAAGCACTTTGGAGAGCTGGGTCACAGGAGCATCTTAGGAGTTCTTTGGGAATGTGCATTGGGTTTAAGTTTAGATTCGAAGCCTGAGGTTCATGGCTTGGGGCACAAAAGGCTCGGATGGAGGTGCAACGTGGAGATCCAGATCGACGGAGTTCCGAGGTTGAAAACACGCTCAACGACAGAGCCACGTGAGATTTACACCGGAAAGGAGACGGTCGGGCGCAGCGAGGCGGCGTCTCTCCGAGAAGCCTCCTCCTTACTCACGCCGGCACGCTCGGCTGCAGCGATGACCTGGCCCCAAAGATGCGCCCTGAACCCTCTTCACAATATCTGTGGAGTCCCAAAGGTGCTGTTGGTATGCAGGGCTTTGGGATCCAGGAGGGCTTCGGCTGCCGAGGTTTTCGTGACTGTTCTTAAAGGCCTCTTTCTCCTCTCATCTCCCCCAAACACTGCCTGCGCCAGGATCTTCGGGTTCCCTGTGCGAGTCGCCGCTTTGAGCCGGCGGGCCAAAACCTGTCCCACAGGTTCGGCTTAGGGCGACATGCAGGTTTTTGTTCTGTCTGGGTTGCAGCTGAATGCCCTCACGGTTTTGCGAAGCTTGGCGGCCCTTGTTCACACTTCCCCGGACAAAGCACATTCTAGCGATCCTATACAGTTCCACAAAACTTCGGCCGGCCGATGTCTTAATCTCATCATCCCTAAACCCTGAAATCCCTCTCAACCCAAACCTTTCTCAAAATCCCGCCAAGCCCTGAGCCCCTGTCGAACCGCCTCGAGCAACCCATAAACCATGAGACCGCTTCAGAACATAAGGACCTCGAGTAAACATCCTACACAATAGGAGGATCCCAGTTGTATGCAAGGACCCCGAAAACAGTACGCATGCCCCCCATGAACCTCTAAGTTCAAGATTCTGAAATCCATGGACGCACAGCCTCCCGCCCCTGCTCACGGCGTCGCTGGTCCTGAAGCTGGGGAGGCCCTTAAACAATTGCTGGGGGGGATGCAGAAAGTTTAGGGGCTTGGATGAACTGTGGATTTCTGAGGCATGGGCTTTTAAGATGTGGAGCCGTGGGAACTTGAGACATGAAGTCTTGAAGCCAGCTTGCGTAGGATTTGCTCCCGGCTTCGAGCTGAAGGGTATGGGATCTCGAGCACGTTGCTCCTTTGATTCACTCTTGAACACGCAGGCTTGGGTTCTGGACTCGGCGTCTCGGTTGATGACGAAATTTAGGTCCCCAGCCTGAACGTCAACCCCAGAAGCACTCACAGAAAACTTACGGCATAGAAGTCCAAGCTTCATGGTCTGTGAGCACCAAGCCACTGCACTCAGAGCTACAGCTACGTGCTTCAAAATAAATCTACCCAAAAACACCACCCTAACCGTATCCCGCATAATGTCCAAGACCACCGTAAACTCAACAACACAAGTTAACCTCCCGTCAAAGTTCCTCGATCTCTGCTTTACGTTTGCGCGCCGGTGCCAGCTGCGACAAGCTCAAGCCTTCATCTTGGAGCTGCAAACCAGGAGTTGTTGTTACAATCCGTCTGCTTAGCAAAAGAGTGGTTAGGTTTCAACTTGGAGTGCTAGCCTCAACTTGTTTGATTACTTTCAACCTCGAGTCGTAGTTTCGATTTGGGGGGCTTCCAGTTTCAATCTAGGGATTAGCTCCAGGGAAGCGAACTAACAGGCTTCGCCAAGCTAATCCAGGCTAAGGCATTCACGATTTGGGCAAGTTGGTGGTATGCGGGCTTCCTAACGCGGCAAAAAGAGACTCTTTCGTGCAGCTGCGGCTCAGTCTGTGACGAAAGACAGCAAGCCCGAAAACCACCAAGAACGCCGGAAAGGCCAGAGGCCTGTTCGACGCATCCCTGATCCCTAATCCCCCAGCCCTAATAACCCTCATCCCCTGATTCCGAGCCGAAATTCGTCTCTGAGGCATCGGCCACTGACAGCTGCCTCGGCGATGGCCTTCTCCAGGCTTTTCGAGTCCTCCCGAGTTTTGGGTCCATGGGCTTCGTGGGAGAAATAAAACGTTTGGGCTTTCAGACCCAGTGAAGTCTTAACGGGTTTCGAGGGAACCCTAGAGAGCCCAACCTAGCCCTTATTCATTCATTCACGCCTCTCTGAAATCCTGGCCCTTAATGAAGGTATACTGGTATACTCCTTGAAATCTCTACAGCGTCGAAGATCGTCAAAGTCTGATTTGAAGAATATTCCTCAGACAAGGGGTGTTGGACTGTCTGGGGGGTCTAAGATATTGAACCATGGGCACCATAAGCACCGAGGAGAATCCCTGAGATGTCAGAGGCTTCAAACCCCGGCATTCGACGCCCTCGTCAGTCCTCCCCCAAGGCACGCTCCAGCTGGGACTCTGCAGCAGAGCGACGCGCTGCGGCAGCACGTGCCGCCTCTGTCGGCAGTAAACCCCAGAGAGAGAAAGCCGAGTGAATAGGTCCTTTGAGGGTTTTAATCGGCTGCCTCCCCCGAAGACGTTTACTGGATCTTTTACGTGAGATAGGAGGACGTAAGCTGGTCTGAGAATGTCTGAGATCACCACAGGAATGCAACAACGTCCCATCTTGTAATCTCCCTTTCAATGCAGACGTCGGGGGATCACGAAACACGCTCTGCGAGCCGCAAACCTACAACAACAACGCGCAGCACTCTGCCAGCCATCTGCTGCACGCCTGCAGCTCAGCCAACTTCTCCTTGAGTTCGCCTCGATCTCTAAAAGACTCTACGACCTTAGAAATGGTGATACTTTCTGAAACTATATAGGGCTACCTGAATCATATTGGTCTCTGATTTTTTTCGGTATTTCCGTTTCTTTTGGTATTTTTTTTCCGTTTCGTGTTTGGGGACCTCCTGGCTTCCTTCCCCCGTTTGTGGAGGGGGTACTGAGCCCTCCCACCGCGGCAAGGTGGGTCCGTCGAGAGGGAAAACACGAAGGTCACTTGGCAAACTTTTTTCGGGGTCGCACCGTTTCGGGTCACTTATCAATTTTTTTCGGTGTCACTTAGCCAAACTTTCTTCGGCTCGAGGTTTCATCATATAAATATATATATGTATATATACATATATGTATTTATATGTATATTTATACATATGTAATTATATATATATATATATATCTTAAAGACGTTTTCGCCTTTGCCGCAAACACGCGCCCTCATTTGGTGATTCCGGTTCATCACATATCTTGAACATGCCCCCTCGGCTGAGCGGTTCGAACTCATCATATATCTTAATCACGCCCCCTCATGTGGCGATTCGGGTTCATCATGTATCTTAAGACACGCCGAATGATCTAGCGATTCGAATTCATCATATATGTTAAAACACGCCCCTTCATTTGGCGATTCCGGTTCGTCATATAACTTGAACATGCCCCTCGGCTGAGCGATTCGGACTCATCACATAGCTTAAGCACGCCCCCTCATCTGGCGATTCGGGTTCATCATATATCTTGGACACGCCCCATGATTTAGCGATTCGAGTTCATCATATATCTGAAACGCGCTCCCTCATTTGGCGATTCCGGTCATCACATATCTTGAGCATGTCCCCTCGGTTGAGCGGTTCGAACTCATCATATATCTTAAACACGCCCGCTCATGTGGCGATTCGGGTTCATCATATATCTTAAAACACGCCAAATGATCTAGCGATTCGAATTCATCATATATGTTAAAACACGCCCCTTCATTTGGCGATTCCGGTTCGTCATATAACTTGAACATGCCCTCGGCTGAGCGATTCGGACTCATCATATAGCTTAAGCACGCCCCCCTCATCTGGCGATTCGAGTTCATCATATATCTTGAACACGCCCCATCATTGGCGATTCCGGTTCATCATACCAGATTCGCCATAAAACCTGACCATACCCCGTCATTTGGAGATTCCGGTTCATCATATATCTTGAACACGCCCCCTCATGTGACGATTCCGGTTCATCATCTATCTTGAACACGCCCCGTCATTTCGCGTTTCGGATTCTTCCTATATCTTAAACACTGCCTCTCATTTGGAGATTCGAGTTCATCATATCGGATTCACCGTATATCTTAAAACTCAAACGAACCCTTCATTTCGCGATTCCGGATCATCATATATCTTGAACAAACACCCGTCATATTGCGATTCCGGTTCATCATATGTCTTAGACATGCCCCCTCATTTCGCGGTTTGGACTCATCCTATATCTTAAGCACGCCCCTCATTTGGCGATGTGCTTGCTTGCGTGCTTGCTTGCTTGCTTGCTTGCCTGTCTGCTTGCTTGCTTGCTTGCTTGCTTGCTTGCTTGTTTGCTTGCTTGCTTGCTTGCTTGCTTTCTTGCTTTCTTTTCTTTCTTCCTTGCCTGCCTGCCTGCCTGCCTGCTTGGTTGCTTGCTGTGTTTGCTTGCTTTGCTTGCTTTGTTTGCTTGCTTTGCTTGCTTGGCTTGGCTTGGCTTG